CAGAAATGCAGTTCAAGAAGGAATGGGGTGTTTGAATTACTGTCTGTAAGAAAGCCGTCAGAGCCTGCTTCTGCCATTCTTCTCACAAGATAAACAGTTCATGATGTTTTGTGAACATGATTTGCACAATCCGTAGAGGTATTCAGATTTTTTTTTTTTTTACTGTCTTCTGGTAAAAAGAGAGGCACTGAGATGATGACTTCTGGGATCTTGAACTGAAAGCAGCTAGAAAAAAAGTGTTATTCACAGAAATGTTGGCAAACATTTAAAACTTTTAAGTAAGGGAGGTTCAAAACTAATGTTAAATAGTATTACTTCACAGAAAGAATAGTGGAAGCTTGGAACCAACTTCCAGAGGAGGTGGTAAGTCACTCATCAATGACTTGGGATAAATACATGTCTTGGGATAAATACATGTCTATCCATAACAAATTTAAAAAATACATTAAAATAAGATAAAAATGATAAAATATTAAATAAAATTAAAAAGTAAATAAAAACAAACAAAACCTGATTAATGTAACACAGGTAATTTTTTAAAAAATAATTCTTTCTTCCATTTTGGAATTTATTTAGAGACAAGTCTGCATTACAGACTCATACTTGCTTAATTATGTGTATAGTCATATGAAAAAATAAGTACAGCCATTAAAATTTGACTTTTTCAACATATTTCAATGGAGATATTTGATGTTCATTTCAACAATATTGATATTCAGTAATACTACACCACCATAGACAGATCCAATGTGCAGTCTGAGAGTCCTGCTAGACTCATGATTTCTCCTCAATGAGCAGATGACAGTCAAGGCTAATGAATAAAGTGGACAGATATTTGTGACAAGACAGTGAATGTCTTATACCTGTAATTGCATGTCAATATAATAGAGTAAAATGATTTTCATGATATGAGGTGAGAACAAATCTGCTCTGCTACACTCAATTTCTACTAGACACTCTGTATTCTGAACACTGGGTGCTTTATAGTGGCTAGTGCACATTTTTAAAATTGCAAGGAAAAAAACTGTTTCTATCCTGCCCTCTCTCTATGTGATAGAATAATGTAAGATTGTCTACTAAGTCTCTCAGACAATTGGCCTGGGCACTTTCTTGGCATTTTTATTTTATTTATTTTATTTTATGCCTTAAAGTCAATGTTGATTCCTAGTAACTACTTGGATTAGTCCTTGCAGGCTTCTTGGCAAGATTTGTGGAAATGGTTTATCATTGCCTCCTTCTGAAAGTAACACGCAGCTGGCTTTCTACTTAAGGTGGAACTAAAGCTCACCAATTCCCAGCCTGATGCCTTAATCACAACACCAAACTGGGTCTTTGCACCGAAATTGTTCTTGGCCAATCGGTACACAAAGACGGTGCATTTTTAATGATACACTAAAGCTTGTCTGTAAGCACTTCTTCATTGGTTAATCATGAGTTGAATTATTAAAATAGGAGAAAAAGGTAGCCTAACTAACCCAAATGCCTGAATAATTCAGTATCTGAATTATATATATTTTTTAAAACTGTCTTATTGATGTTAAGAAGAAGCAGAGGTTTTATGACCCATTTAAGTGATCTCCATCGAAATCAAGAAATGAACATAAGCATTGATTTAGATGTTTAATCAAACTCATGAAAAATATTATATATTTTTTTCAAAAGATTGTAATTTGTTTGTGTGCAATTCTGTGTTTATTAGGTGGTGCCCATGAAGGTTTGCAACATTTGGGTCCTTATGGAAATATTCCAAACATTGTTGCTGAGTTGACAGGTGATAATATACCAAAGGATTTTAGTGAAGATCAGGGATATCCAGATCCTCCAAATCCTTGCCCAATTGGAAAAACAGGTAAGTTGTATGAACTCCCTACTGGATTTGATGTAGTTTTATACTGAGGAATCAGATCTAAATTATACTATAAAATAATCCACCACCACCCCGAAAAACTGTGCACGCAGTAACACAGATTAAAAAATCCAAATTGTTATTTCATTACTAAGATGCATTTGTTGAAATACTAGTTTTTTATAAGGAAGGATCGATCAATGGGGATAGGTACAAAGAAAGGCTAAGAAATTATACTTAAAGAATGTAATTATATAATCAATACATTTATGTATTAAATCAAGTCTAGTTCTAGTTTATCTGTGGGATTGATTTTCTGGTCTAGTCTATATAATCAGACTTATGAGGTATGGTAATAAGATTGGTAATAAGATTGAATTACATTTCAGTCTTGAGCACAATTAAGCAAATTCTGATTTTCTAAACCAAAGGCAATCATCTGAATCATTTCTTAAGACTTAAATAACTGCATTATCACATATGCTTACAACAATTACACCCAATATGCACATAAATATTCTGGATAGTGGTTAGGAATATCTAAATTCTCAATATAGGTTGCAATCAACCACACAACAAAATATTAAAGATTTATGCAGCCTAGAAATGTCTATAAGTATAAATATAAAGATACATTACTGGATTAATATCCAAGCATCTGTTTATTGTTCTTTTTAACCCCTCCTATGATCCTACAGAAACAAATTAATTTTACTTTGTATCTGCTCCAAAGAACTGTGGAAATTGTTTAACCATCCCAAGAGTCCTGTTTTGAAGAAGAAAAGTGTATTTTTTTCATCTCCCATACTTTTCAAATAAAATTAATTGCATATGTTCCTGGTATATATTTTTTAAACAAACAAATAAATTTTAAACATGCCAACTGCTCAGGTTTTTCCAAAATGTTTTGTAGTTGATGACGGATGTCTTGAAAACACACCCGACACAGCGGAGTTCAGCAAAGACTATCAACTTCATCAGCATCTTTTTGATCCAGAACATGACTACCCCAGCTTAAGTAAATGGGTATGTAAATCAGATTTATTTTTATAAACCTATAACTAAGTTCTCAATCAGTTAAATACTCTGTTATTTAATTATTAATACAAATATTTCTGTGCCCATGTATTTTAATAAATGTTCTCTGAAGGATCTTATTTATGAAAAAAAAAACCTAAACTTTCATTTATATACAGTATAAGGATGTGTATGTAAACAACATTACAAAAAATAAAGAAATAGCATTGCAGGGATTATCTATCTCTCTTATGGTCAAATGCAGAGGTTGAGAATATTTCTTCCAGTTCAAAGTCCAAGATAATGATGCAACAAATATAACTGATTCCACTTTCTGTTTACATCGACAGATTCTTACATGATTTCTAAGCATTTCAGGCAGTCAACGAAATTTCCCTCTTTTTTGTATTGTGCTTGATTAATGTTGCAATCTTTGGTAAATGTACCAGATGTTTAACTCAAACGATTCATTTTTGCCAACTCAAATAATTCATTCTTGTACTACTACTTTGAGAACTATAAAGCACTTGCTTGTGACCACAAATATATTGCTGGGATTTAAAGCATTTCCCGTCAGAATCCCTTGAATTTCACTTGGATACTGTAATTGTTAGACATATACTTAACTTTATGACTGAAATAAATGGGCTGAACTTCCTTAATCTTGATTGTATTGCTCATTACCTATGGCATTTATTTACTATCTAACAATCTAAAGAATTTAGGCAATGTCTAATAAAGAAAGGTAAAAATAATTTAAGAAGCAAAATAAAATATAAGATAATATGCATACAATTTGTACTCAACAGCAGCATAAACATAGTAATGAAATGAAACTCACAGTAATCTCAGAATTGAAGGGCATTTACTAGTTCATTTAGTCTGAGGATTTCCAAACCGTACATGTGCTGTTAAAATTACTTTCATAAATGAAAACTCTTTACCTGGAATTGAAAATACTTCAACTATTACAACAGGCAAACCCTTTTCATAATACAGTCACTAAGACAAAAAAATTACTCTCTTGAAAGTTCCATTTAGTGGGAGTAATTGAAAAAGTCTTGAAGATTTTAAACTTTGAAGGATTGTGTATGTATTAAGTATGAGTCTTTTAAGCTATAGAAGACTTTAAAAATGGAAACAACAGTTTCATTTAGGCTTTTAAATGCAGTTGGTAAGGTGTTTGACTGTCCCATCTTAATTCATAATGTTGCGGCCAGGTTTAGAAGTTGACCTGTTTTTTTAAAAAAAACAAGCATATTGCAATAATCTCAATGACGTCTAGCATAGGTAAATTCAAAGTTACCAGCCAAAGTTAATACAAGGAATTTTAAGGCATTGTAGTCATTTAAACCTCTAATAATAACAGTGGATGAATGAACTCCTGCAACTTGGCCTTCTGGTAGTGGAATAGGTAGAATCTATTTATGAGCTACCAGCCTTATCTCTATCTATATGGACAAAGACTCCTTTGTTCATTCTTATCTATTCTGTTCTTGCATCCAAACTGGTTTTCCATCAGATACAGACAGATCAGATTTTGGATGATTTTACAAAGCACATTAATTCTAGATAAAATCACCCAAATCCTTTTGAAAGCAAATTATAGTATTTTGTTTTTATAACAATGTACACAAAAAAGGGAAAATTTAAGGCTGTTTATATATCAGTGTGCAAGGGTCCTATTCCAGAATATTAAATTAAGAGTTAACAGAGTTAGTTACAGCTACAGAATATTCTGTATAATGCAAAAAGTTATTTTGGAGCAGTTACTCTATTTTCAACATAAAAAACATTGATGCTGATATCATGGGATGTATTTAACAGTATTATTTGTATGTGAAGGCTTGTAAATGAATAAATGTACATGTTCCAGATTTTAGAGAAATTTGACATTGGAATTGTTTCTTTAAAGTTATCATCATCAAACAATGTACCAACTTACTTTGAAAGCAGCTTGAATTCAGGCGGTATTGTTTTCTTTCTGCCTGTTTATGCCTGTTATTATACTTCATAGATCTAAATTACAATCTAGAAGTATGTCTGAATATAAACTAAATGTGCAAGACACAAATAGTTTTGGTGCTTCAATATTGGTTCTGTTGATGCTCTTTGATACTATTTTATGTCCAAAGTAGATGTAATAACATTAATGTGCATGCAGTAAGAAGTAGTTCAAAATCTGTGTATGTTGAATGTATACTTTTGAAGTCACCCTGTGGACATCTGTTCATTCTTTAAAAACCTGCTCCTTGTTTGTGTATATTTTAGGGTTGAAGTTGTGATGTGCTTGGCTCTTTCTAAAACCAAGCCCTGTGATGTAGAAAATGCTATTAATTCCTCTTTGGTAGAGATGGGATCAAAAGATGGTAGACATTTCACCAGAAATCAGAATGCTTTCCTTGCAGAATGTCTGGGACAAGCCATATTTTCAGATTTACCTTTACTGCAGGAGTGAGATCTTAGTTCAGATTATCTGAACACTGTTGCTGCCTGCTCTTATATTTGCATTAGTTATGGTCTTAACATATACCCAAACAATATCAAATATTTCTTTAACCAAAACAATTGAACAAAGTGGAGGGCGGGGTGGTGGTGATTAGCTCTTAGTCTGCTTTTAAATTAATTGCAGTGTACCTTTAAAAATGTCTAAAAACTTATCTTTGTAAAGGAGATTTAGGTAAAACAATGTTAATAAAAATTATAAATAAAACACCACTTCTCAGAGGAAATAAAAGACAAGTCTCCTATTGTGTTTTGCATAGTTAAATTGATTTTTCCCTAAGTGAGTTTGCACAAATTATTGCAGCCAAGAATGTCTCTTTGGCCAGCTTCATCCCCATTTCCTTGTCTATTTGGCACAGTACAGATGAAATAGTTGAGGTCAAACAAAAGCTACATCTTGTGAACTTGGACTTAAATTAATATGAGAAGCACCAGCAGATTATGTTAGGCAGAAATCACTTTAGCTTGTAGCAGTATTTGTTTCTCAGAAATCCTTACTTCATTCAGGAATTACTGTTTTGTAACTCTCCTTATTACATTTCACCATGTATCATTATGCTTTTTAAAAACACAGTTGTTCCTCCTAAACTTTTGTTCTTTTAACTTTTTCTTTTTGGGGTCCACATTATAATTCCAGTGGAAATCAAATCTGTGGAGCATGTGTCTGACATTCCAGCCTGCACTTGAGCTTGCAAGATTTATGAAATACAGCAGTGTGTGGGATTAGTTATAAAGGTTGGAATTGAAAGTCATAGCCATCTTCTCTTGTTATTGTGAAGCTCTTCTCTCCCCCCCCCCCCAAAAAAAAATCAAATTTAGTTTCATTATATTAAAATAATTTTAAATCAGTTTATTTCTGAAAAGGAAGATCAGGGTCTTTTTAAAAAGAAGAAAGTATTTAGAACAGTAACATCAATTAAAAATAGAAGGTGGCAAGGGAAGCAATTGAAATAGTAATAAGGAACATATTTAAATCACAACTTAAGGGAAATATCCATATGACTACAATAGAACTTCTCTTTTCTTTCTTCCTTTCTCCCCTTCCAAATAGTCCAATGGACAGCATGAGAAGGGAGAATCTCTTCCAGCTGTGATAATCTTTCTGATAGTCTTTCTGTTTAAGGACAGACATAGTTAGATACGACCCAAATGTAGACTTCATAAAATAAGCAGTTGTGTCTGAGTATGGCAAATCTGGTCTTGCCATTTTAATGGCATCCATATACTAAATATCAATGTCTATTCAATACATTGTTGCTTTCTCTGACTGATAAATGGTTTCCAAGGCCTTGGATTTATGATCAGACTTCCCATCAGGCAGAGTGGAGCAGTGCCTCAGATGGTGAAAGATGGGTCATGAGCAATAGTGGTGGCTTTCTAACTTTTCCTTTTAGGTTCTGTAGCTGGATTCTTCCATTGAAAAGAGAGGTCCATACAAATGGCAATCTGCTGTGGACCACAGGTGTGATGCAGGGCGTGCAAAAAACTATTTTGCATAATATGTGGTCTATCCTGGTTTAGATATGATGCATACTAAACTAATCTATGTTCATCAGTCTGTAGATGTGATCTGGGGGAAAGTCCCCATCTTGCACTTGTCTCTGACAGCGAATAACAGGATGGGCTCAAATGCCCTTTACTGAAAAGGATCTCATTCATGCAAAGTCTGTGTTTTACTATGCTTGATATTTTTCCATCTTACTCCTATCTTATTGAGACAGCTAAAATTAAAACCATCATATAACCCATATATTCCTATTCTTGTAATAGCTGATGACACTGAAGATCCCAGAAGAATAGCAAATATTTTATTAATAGCTGTAGTAATCCAACTGTTTTCTTGTGGTTTATCTTTTCAACAACATGGCATTCTCTACCAAAATGCTTTCCAAAATATTCACATGATAATATTTAGATGGCACAAAGTCTTGATTGAAAAGAGGTTATAAATTTGATCCACACTTTGTATTCTTTTATTGTTTTACAGAACAAGAATTTACTCTTTGAGAAAATGAAGGGTGAATCGAAAAGAAAGAAAAGGGTAATTTTCAGAACACAACTTGTTTTCATTTACTACCTTAATGTATAATCAGTCAAGAATGCAAATAAAATCAGATTGTTGAGATAGTTACAAATAGCATATACAGTAAAACCTGGACTTAGTCCTTATTTCCAGAAAACAGCTGTAGTAAGAGAGACAGTTCTTCATGCTAAAGTACCATTTCTCAGTACACTCGTTGCCATTCCAATGTGTGTATTTTTAAAAAATGAAAATTAAGTGCAACCCTTCTATTTTTCCAGGTTTATCTCTAGACCATGTATGTAGAATTTAACTTGCTACTTATTTTTTTAGCATTAAAATGGGTAAATTTATGGAAGACAGTTCTATTGAAGTCTACTGCTATTGAGGACACAGTATTAACTCTAGGTTACCATTGTGCCATCTTCTTTTTTGTAGCACCCTTGACACATTTGGATGGCCCTGTGAAAAACAAAATGCTGGACTAAAATTATCTTTGGCCTGATTGATAAAATAAAATATACTCCCCCCTCCCAATCAGAAATCATACAGTTTAAATCAGGGCTGTCAAACTCATGTTGTCACGGCGTCGTCACATGATGTATCGTGACTTCCCTCCTTCTCTAAATCAGGCATGGGTGTGGCCAGCGCGTGACACATCTGGGCTGCGGGCTGCGAGTTTGACAGCCCTGATTTTAGATCATCATACGAACATTGTCCTAGAATGTAGAACAGTAAGATCATTCACTTTTATAATCCTTATTTCCACTTCCTTCTTTCTCTTGCTTTTGCTTCAGTAAATTAAGACCTGCTCCATTAATTGAATAGAAGTCCTGCCCCATTTACGGAGTTTTGAAGAAGAAAACATTATGCTACAATTTTAAATACAAGAGCAAACACTCATCCATTCCATGTACTGTGGAAGACGCTAGGTTGTTTACTTGCATTATTTGTCATTCCTAAGTGTTTTAAAATATTTCATCTTTCAGAATGTAAATCCATATCTTCAAGGACAAAGATTGGACAACGTTGTGGCAAAGAAATCTGTTCCACATTTTTCAGATGAAGAAAAAGACAGAGCAGAAACTGAATGAAGATTCATAAATGGCTTGAGTACTAATGATATAAAAAGTGATTCAAATATTCATAGTAGTTGCATGCTTATTAACTATGAAAATCTTTCTGGAAAGCAGTTGGATTTATAGTATTTATAATATTTCTTTTTCTGCATCTACACCAAACTGGTTTCTTTCAGATGTTTGGGGCAATGATTCATGGAATTATTGAGATGCCCATGAGAATTATAATCCAATATATCTGCCTTTAGATTTGGGTGGCTGTCCCAAGTATACAACTATTGGATTTTGCTTCTTGTTAAGTTATAACAACATAATTACCAACATAACCATGTCTTGCTTTGAATCTGACTTTAAGCTTTAATACATTTTAATCATTGTGACTTAAACTGGTGTTAAGAAATGAGTCTTTAAAAAGTTGAAAACATTAAAAGATTTTTCAGTTGTTGAGTACTATAAGTGATATAAAAGATTGCTGTTTGGGAACAATTATTTCACCTTTTTCTGTTTGTAAATAATAACATAATGCATAATAAATATCTAGGCACTTGCTATTATTGAAAGTCAACATTGTCTGTTTTCATTAAATTACATGTTTCAGACAATTACCAATCAAATGGTTTGGTCCAATTATAGGAAAATTATATAAGTTATTTCTAAAGACATGCATGTGATTAAGCTTTTTACCCAGAAGGCAAGATGGTTACACACTCAGCTACAAGGAAATGCTGTCTCACCTAAGTGCACAGAACTACCCCATTAATTATCTGTTTTTGAATAATGAATTATAACCCATATGCCTCCCATATCTAGATTGAAAAAGTGCATAAATACAGAAAACACTAGCTAACTGCTGCCACATTGCTTGTCTGAATTTCTGCAGTTCAAATATGGCAAACCTAATCAGGTAAACTGATATAAAATAAAATAAGACATTATTTTAATATTTACTTTATACCCTATTCAAACAGAATGTTTCTGTTCTACAAACAAAGAGAAGGAATATCTTTGTCATAAGACAGATTTAAGGATATCTAGGTAGTCAGCCAGAATGATATGTAGTAGTCCTCGACTTACAACAGTTTGTTTAACTTACCATTTGAAGTTACATCACTGAAAAAAGTGGCCTATGGCCATTTTTCACACTTATGACTGTTTCAGCATCCCCATGGTCACGTGATCAAAATTGAGATTCTTGGCAACAGGCTCGTGTTTATTATGAATACAGAGTCCCAGGGTCATTTGATCACCTTTTTGCAACCTTCTGACAAGCAAACCCAAATGGGGAAGCCAGATTCACTTAAGAACTATGCTACTAACTTAACAACTGCAGTGATTCATTTAACAACGATGACAAGAAAAGTTGCAAAATGGAGCAAAACTCATGTAACAAATACCTTACTTAGTGATACAAACACTGGACTCAATTGTGGTCGTAAGTTGAATACTACTTGGACATGATCTTGTTATGATTGTCAGCCTCTGCTTTGCTGCTGCTTCGGCTGCCATTGAAACGGGGAGGGGGGGCATGGTATTTGGGAGGGGAATACTAATTGTGCTGGAGGGAGATTCTGCTGCCTGTCTTACTGCGCCTGCGGAGGAGGTTTCCCGCCAAGGCCAACGGCACCGACATTCCATCTGGGTGATGCTTTTCAACATTATCTCACACCTGACACTTGGGAGAATTATGATTGGACTGTAACTGGGATGCCAAGGGGAGGGGAATGAGTTATTCTATATATCATTTGCTTTCGCGCCTAAATAATCAGTCTTTCGCTTTGCTACGCTTCTAATCATTTGTAATTAGTAAAAGTACACTTGATTTCTATCAATGGAGTCTCGTGGTTTTCTTTCCTAATTATTCAATGGAAGAGTGCTGACAATGATATACATGACCTTGTTACTGATTTTGTGGATTTGTCTCTCTCAAAACTATATAGTACACATTTCTCTTGTTTCAGAGGAAAAAAAAGAGATATCCTGTTCATTATTGTGTCTTTTCAGAAAGACCCTGTCTGCAATTTTATCTATTTCTATTTCTAATTTTATCTAATTTTAGTTACAGCTATCATGGGCATTGAAAAAAATACCATAATCTCTAGATCAGAAGAAAATGATTGCCAGGTTTGCTTATTTGGTATTCAGCTTCCTTCATAAACTACATGTACTACCATTATTAAGTATTTAAAGCCAGCAAAATATCCACCCCATAACACTGTAATCGTCCTGGTTTCCGCAAAGTAGCTCCTGAATCACTGAGGAGACACCCTTCCCCTATTTCCTCTCAGCAGAGGCAGCACATTCTTTTATTCTGTCTTTCAAATGAAGGAAGTCAATTTATTACTGGGCTTTAAGTTCTGGGAGAGAAGGCAGAAGCAGCAAATCAGAGGTGAAATGCTGCCGGTTCTGACCCGTTCACTAGCAAAAAATGCTAAGGTTCGCCCAAACCGGTAGTAAAAAAAAAGCTTTAAAAAGTGGGGGAAAAGTTTCCATGACACTCAGCTGTGCCGCACAATTATGGGAACCTTTTGTTTCACTTTTTAAAGCACTTTTTACTACCTATTCACTGGAATAGTAAAAAAAAATGCTTTAAAAAGTGTGAAAAAAAGGTTCCGACGATTGATCGGCTCACAGCTGATCCGGGCGATTGTCAGAACCCTTCCCCCCCCCCCATTTTTAAAGCATTTTTTTCCTGCTGGTTCAGGCAAATAGATAGGAAAAAATGCTTTAAAAGTGGGAAAAAATGGCCATGCCCTCCCAGTCACATGACCCACCACCACCAAGCCTACAGAACCAGTGGGGAAAAAATTTTAGTTTTTGCCACTGCAGCAAATATCTGATATGCTAGAATTTCACAGATACCAAACAGATTCAACTTTAATTGGCAGAGAAAAACTATAGGAACATCCTTTCCACAGGAGTGAACAGCACTTTGGGTAACAATACAGTGTCTAACATGATGAATTATCCCGATTCCATGTTGACTAATTTTGTGACCGGCTGATGATGCTTTTGGTATCCAGGGTTACAATATTTTTAGTAAATCATGGCCTGAAATGAGACAAAGTTTGTATGAAGACAGTAAATCAGACTGGAGTTGCAAGACGACTTCAACAATGCTATCAATAACAGCAGCACACCAAATTTATAAATAAAGAAATAAATATGAAACAAATGAAGATGATGAATATCAAGTAGTGATGCTTGATGGAACTCTTAGTTAAGGTCGGTGGTACTAAAAATACCCAGGCACTCTACATCACAAGCCATGCCTGGAAGCTATCTTACCATCTCTGATTCCACAGGATGTAATAAAAACACTAGATCATATTCTATTCAGTTTAGTATTCACCCCTTCCAAAATTAGTAGAGGTAAATGGGAGAGCCTTGATGGTTAGAATTTTCTGTTTTGAAGCAATTTCCTTTTGCAAGCATTGACTTCTTAATTGTTTAACCAAAGAACCATCCTCTTCCTTTCTTCTCCCTACGCTTGGTATTCTACTTTTATTACTTCATGGTTTTTAACTAACTGCTTGTGGATTGAATATGTTTTTCCAAAATTGTGTCAGTGCTTCATAAGAAGTTCAGTTTGCTTTAGGTCACTGTAAATAATTTTGGCTTCATGGCTATCCCTCTATTTTGTAAAAGTTATGGAAAATAGCTCCAAGGCCTGATTCTCTGAGACGGATAATATTGAATGGTAGTGACAGAGGAATATATGGCAAATGTAGGGTAGTGTCTAAGCATGAAAAGCTTTGTTGCAACATGTTTAATTCTTTCGTTAATTAAATTAATTAAATTCGTTTAATTTTGTTGTATCAGAATTCTATCCCACTTTTATTACTGTATAACTAATGCAAGGCTCAATCATGCATAATACCTCTTTCTCCTCCTATTTTCCCAACAACAATTCTGTGAGATGGATTGAGCTGAGAGAGAAGGACTGGCCCAAAGTCACTCAGCCAGCTTTCATACCTAGGGCGGGACTAGAATTCACAAGTCGCCTGGTTTCTAGGCCAGCACCTTGACCACTTTACCAAACAGGCTATGCCAGTCAGAAGACAAATTTCAAAATACACATTAACATAATAACCTAACTCAGAGTTCACAGAAATGTGCAAGCTTTCAAGATCCTTAGGCCTCTTCACTCGGCAAGAAATGATTACTGCAAGTTCTATGAAAAATGATTAAAAGAACTAGGCATCTTTAGTCTAAAAGAAGTCTAAGGAAATGCACGATAGCTGTCTTTAAATATTGCAGGGCTCTCGCAAGGAAAATAGTATGGATTTAATTTTACACAGGTAGTCCTCAGCTTATTACCACAATTGAGCATAACATTTCTGTTGCTAAGCGGAACATTTGTTAAGGGAATTTGCTCCATTGTCACAGTTGTTATGTGAATCATTGCAGTTGTTAAATTAGTGACATGGTTAAGTGAACCTGCCTTCCCCATTGACTTTGTTTGTGAGAAAATCACAAAAGGGGATCACATGACACTGCAACCATCATAACTATGAGTCAGTTGCCAAGGGTCTGAATTTTTTTCACATGGCCACGGGGGTGTCGCAATGGATGAAAGTGTGAAAAATGGTCATAAGTTACTTTTTCCAGTGCCATTGTAACTTTGAATGGTCAGTAAATGAACAGTTGTAAGTCGAGAACTACCTTTAGTGCTCAAAGGTAAGACAAAAAGCAATGGGTATAAGCTTTAGAGAGAGAGATTTAAACCTGAACTAAGAAGGAATATCCTGACTGTGAAAGCAATTAAGGAATGGAACAAGAAGTTTCCTGGAGTAATGTGGTTCTATCACTGGAGATTTCCAGAGAAAGATTTCTCTGGCATGGTCTTGAGTATTCCTGCTTTGGGCAGAATTAGAAGACCTCCAAGGTTCCTCCCAACTTTATGATTTTATGAAAACAATCACATACTGTACATACATACCAGTGGTGGGATTCAAATAATTTACCAACCAGTTCTCTGCCCTAATGACCAGCTGGGTAGGCAGGGCTCGGTGGTAATGTGATCATTTGGGGGTGGCCAAGTCAATGTCACTCAGGTCGATGGGCTCTTCGCCTTAGCTGTTACAATGTAATAAGGGTTAAGGGGAGAGGCATTCTGTAAGCAGGGCAATAAAGATTAGGCTAGAAACAACACCAGAATGTTTCCTTCCTGCCTTCCTTACAGGA